ACCTTCCCTCCACCGTCCACACACACACACCTTCCCTCCACCGTCCACACACACACACCTTCCCTCCACCGTCCACACACACACACCTTCCCTCCACCGTCCACACACACACACCTTCCCTCCACCGTCCACACACACACACCTTCCCTCCACCGTCCACACACACACACCTTCCCTCCACCGTCCACACACACACACCTTCCCTCCACCGTCCACACACACACACCTTCCCTCCACCGTCCACACACACACACCTTCCCTCCACCGTCCACACACACACACCTTCCCTCCACCGTCCACACACACACACCTTCCCTCCACCGTCCACACACACACACCTTCCCTCCACCGTCCACACACACACACCTTCCCTCCACCGTCCACACACACACACCTTCCCTCCACCGTCCACACACACACACCTTCCCTCCACCGTCCACACACACACACCTTCCCTCCACCGTCCACACACACACACCTTCCCTCCACCGTCCACACACACACACCTTCCCTCCACCGTCCACACACACACACCTTCCCTCCACCGTCCACACACACACACCTTCCCTCCACCGTCCACACACACACACCTTCCCTCCACCGTCCACACACACACACCTTCCCTCCACCGTCCACACACACACACCTTCCCTCCACCGTCCACACACACACACCTTCCCTCCACCGTCCACACACACACACCTTCCCTCCACCGTCCACACACACACACCTTCCCTCCACCGTCCACACACACACACCTTCCCTCCACCGTCCACACACACACACCTTCCCTCCACCGTCCACACACACACACCTTCCCTCCACCGTCCACACACACACACCTTCCCTCCACCGTCCACACACACACACCTTCCCTCCACCGTCCACACACACACACCTTCCCTCCACCGTCCACACACACACACCTTCCCTCCACCGTCCACACACACACACCTTCCCTCCACCGTCCACACACACACACCTTCCCTCCACCGTCCACACACACACACCTTCCCTCCACCGTCCACACACACACACCTTCCCTCCACCGTCCACACACACACACCTTCCCTCCACCGTCCACACACACACACCTTCCCTCCACCGTCCACACACACACACCTTCCCTCCACCGTCCACACACACACACCTTCCCTCCACCGTCCACACACACACACCTTCCCTCCACCGTCCACACACACACACCTTCCCTCCACCGTCCACACACACACACCTTCCCTCCACCGTCCACACACACACACCTTCCCTCCACCGTCCACACACACACACCTTCCCTCCACCGTCCACACACACACACCTTCCCTCCACCGTCCACACACACACACCTTCCCTCCACCGTCCACACACACACACCTTCCCTCCACCGTCCACACACACACACCTTCCCTCCACCGTCCACACACACACACCTTCCCTCCACCGTCCACACACACACACCTTCCCTCCACCGTCCACACACACACACCTTCCCTCCACCGTCCACACACACACACCTTCCCTCCACCGTCCACACACACACACCTTCCCTCCACCGTCCACACACACACACCTTCCCTCCACCGTCCACACACACACACCTTCCCTCCACCGTCCACACACACACACCTTCCCTCCACCGTCCACACACACACACCTTCCCTCCACCGTCCACACACACACACCTTCCCTCCACCGTCCACACACACACACCTTCCCTCCACCGTCCACACACACACACCTTCCCTCCACCGTCCACACACACACACCTTCCCTCCACCGTCCACACACACACACCTTCCCTCCACCGTCCACACACACACACCTTCCCTCCACCGTCCACACACACACACCTTCCCTCCACCGTCCACACACACACACCTTCCCTCCACCGTCCACACACACACACCTTCCCTCCACCGTCCACACACACACACCTTCCCTCCACCGTCCACACACACACACCTTCCCTCCACCGTCCACACACACACACCTTCCCTCCACCGTCCACACACACACACCTTCCCTCCACCGTCCACACACACACACCTTCCCTCCACCGTCCACACACACACACCTTCCCTCCACCGTCCACACACACACACCTTCCCTCCACCGTCCACACACACACACCTTCCCTCCACCGTCCACACACACACACCTTCCCTCCACCGTCCACACACACACACCTTCCCTCCACCGTCCACACACACACACCTTCCCTCCACCGTCCACACACACACACCTTCCCTCCACCGTCCACACACACACACCTTCCCTCCACCGTCCACACACACACACCTTCCCTCCACCGTCCACACACACACACCTTCCCTCCACCGTCCACACACACACACCTTCCCTCCACCGTCCACACACACACACCTTCCCTCCACCGTCCACACACACACACCTTCCCTCCACCGTCCACACACACACACCTTCCCTCCACCGTCCACACACACACACCTTCCCTCCACCGTCCACACACACACACCTTCCCTCCACCGTCCACACACACACACCTTCCCTCCACCGTCCACACACACACACCTTCCCTCCACCGTCCACACACACACACCTTCCCTCCACCGTCCACACACACACACCTTCCCTCCACCGTCCACACACACACACCTTCCCTCCACCGTCCACACACACACACCTATTACTGCAGATGGATCTTTACCATTTATAGTCATCTTCAGAGGAAAACCCCAAAACTCTGTAACGTTGTCATCTGCTGCCCCCCTGTGTTCAATATGAGGACTGCACCCACAGGCAAATCATTCCGTGTCGCCAGCATTATAAACCACCGAGATACGGAGAGGAAGACACAGAACACGGAGAGGAAGACACAGAACACGGAGAGGAAGACACAGAACACGGAGAGGGAGACACGGAGAGAGAGACACGGAGAGAGAGACACGGAGAGAGAGACACGGAGAGAGAGACACGGAGAGAGAGACACGGAGAGAGAGACACGGAGAGAGAGACACGGGGGACACGGAGAGGAAGACACGGAGAGGAAGACACGGAGAGGAAGACACGGAGAGGAAGACACGGAGAGGAAGACACGGAGAGGAAGACACGGAGAGGAAGACACGGAGAGGAAGACACGGAGAGGAAGACACGGAGAGGAAGACACGGAGAGGAAGACACGGAGAGGAAGACACGGAGAGGAAGACACGGAGAGGAAGACACGGAGAGGAAGACACGGAGAGGAAGACACGGAGAGGAAGACACGGAGAGGAAGACACGGAGAGGAAGACACGGAGAGGAAGACACGGAGAGGAAGACACGGAGAGGAAGACACGGAGAGGAAGACACGGAGAGGAAGACACGGAGAGGAAGACACGGAGAGGAAGACACGGAGAGGAAGACACGGAGAGGAAGACACGGAGAGGAAGACACGGAGAGGAAGACACGGAGAGGAAGACACGGAGAGGAAGACACGGAGAGGAAGACACGGAGAGGAAGACACGGAGAGGAAGACACAGAACACGGAGAGGAAGACACGGAGAGGGAGACACAGAACACGGAGAGGAAGACACAGAACACGGAGAGGAAGACACAGAACACGGAGAGGAAGACACAGAACACGGAGAGGAAGATAAGACAGAACACGGAGAGGAAGATAAGACAGAACACGGAGAGGAAGACACGGGACACGGAGAGGAAAACAAGGGACACGGAGAGGAAAACAAGGGACACGGAGAGGAAGACACGGAGAGGAAGACAAGGGACACGGCGAGGAAGACACGGAGAGGAAGACAAGGGACACGGAGAGGAAGACACGGAGAGGAAAGCAAGGGACACGGAGAGGAAGACACGGAGAGGAAGACAAGGGACACGGAGAGGAAGACACGGAGAGGAAGACAAGGGACACGGAGAGGAAAACTTTGTATCTTTTTAATAAGTTTCAGTCCCTTGATAAGAAAACAAAACGTTTCTATGTCCCAGCAGCACCACGAGGAGGTTTGGGGGGTCTCAGGTCCCTCCGTGTCCCCGGAATCGTACTCGGAGAATTCTGGATTGTGCAATACAGACATGAGGATACGGCACTCGCGTTCTCTACGGACCAAATCATCCGGAATTTTCCCTTTTTCCTCTACAATTTGGCATCAGAACCATTTGCTGTGTCCATTATAAGTGTGTACATAATAATCATGTCTTCAATATCGCACAATTCCCTTATATCATACA